CATTCATTCATTCTTAAAAATGAGTATGTATTTCAATTATCTCTACATGTGAGAAAATGAACAGACCAGCCCAGCATTTCAAACACAGATAATGAGACTTGTGTTTTTCTTACCCTTACTGTTTTTTTGGATCCCATTTGGAACGTCGAGAGTGCGCAGTCCACACATTAACTTTTATTTAGAAATCTCCTATGTGCGGAGTTTATGTGTAAAAAAGGTCCCGCTCACCTCATCTTGTGGCCGGCCAGTTAATGTGTGGCAGTGCTCACCGCTCTGACTAAACCCAGAAGGGCACTCTCTGATCAGGGAAATATTCAACTCATACCAGATCTCCAGCTCAGCTCAGCCTGCCACAGGATTACCACTGTCGGTCTGGGACATTATTCAGGAAATGGACCGGTCGTCCTGCAGAGCTCATCTGGTCCCCGGGTCAAACGGCACCACTTAAAGGCTGAAAACACTTATAAAGCCTCATCCGGTTCTTTCAAACCAGGAACTCAGAGGGACGACTCAGACCACTTGAGTATATAAAAAATATATCCGTGCTGGTTTATTCAAAAAGTCACAGGCAAGAATTCACACTTCAAGTCCAGAGCTCTTCCAACCCCCAGGCTGCCCGAGCAGCCCGGAAGCAGCAAGACCCCGAACCAAGCATTGCTATACAATATTAATCCTTTCTGGGCTGTCGAACCGTGACGTCACCTGATATGCCAGCTTGGCAGCTGAGCAGAGCAGTAGACCAAACATGAAGAAAATAATGTGTGTGGCTGTTGTTTTCGTGGTGTGTATCTAAAACAATTTGACATAACATTACACATTAAGACAAATATTATGGTTACTTTTACCGTCATAATAACATTCGTCCCTGACTGCCGCCTTTCTCTGATTTTAACTAACCTTGCATTTAACAGCCTGAGGAAGACATCCTGGCTGCACTAACAGTCCTAGACAACAAATCTCTGAATATCTATCTAACTAAAAAATAACCTAACAGTTCGTTGTTTTCATAATGTTGTGAGTGATATAAAGGTAATCAGTTCATTGTTAATTGACTGAGAGGGAAAATAAATGCCGGTTATATGTGTGGTTCAAATTAACTCTGTGATCTGTGATATATTCCCCCACCGCTCCTCCTAGAAAAAGATACCTAGTCGGGTATTTGTACACGTAGGTCACAGTGTGCTAGGCCCGGGTTACACACACATATCACATTATGTTCGTGTTTTGTCCTGCTCTTACATATTGTGTTCACTTCTTACATTTGTTTTTACACTGATATTCATTTAAATATTGTATTAAACCCCTTTATTACTAAAATGAACATTTGGTTGTTAGGTAGTGATCGGTTTGTTGTTATACCTGCTTGATCAATCAATTTGCGCGTCTGTGCGTTGTTCCGTGTGCAGCATGTTGCATGTGGGGTGAGTGGGTCGTGGGTCTTTTGCAACAATATTTTGTGGGTCTCTGGCTGAAAACTTTGGGAAACCCTGGTGTAGACCAATATCCAAAAGTTCTTTCCGGATGTAGGATATCAAGGTGAAGCTATTCTGCACGAACAAACACAAAATGAGCAGGACAGGAAAATCACTGCAAAATCACTGCATTATATTTAATTATTCCAATTTTAGCCTAATATGCTGCTGTAAGAGGCAGGCTGTAGAAAAAGTCATTAGTCTTTGGATTTTTTTATATATTATTCATATACTCAATTCCTTTCATATGTTAATTAGGTACTGGGTCAATCAAAATAGGTGCTGTTAACAGTTTGAGAGGTGCCGGATCTCGATCTGGTTCGTTCTGGCATAAATTAACCCCTGCTTGTGAAGCTTTGATATGAGGATCTTCTTGCATTCCACTGAATTTTAAAAGGACATTGTGGATATGTCACTGAAAGGTCAACAGCAAGACCAATTATTCAGTGCTATGAAACTACTTCTTTGACTTTTACATGCTGTTTAGTAGGTGTGAGAAGTAAACAGTTGTGGGATTAATGATCATGGAAAATAGGATAACATTTTTATTGTCATGTTTATGTTGAATGCAGGGCAATGCTGAAGCTCCCAGTTAGTATCTATGGTGATCAGGGAACAGAAAAAATATATAGCATTTATTCAACCATTAAATGAAAAACAGGGAGAGACTGAAGAACAGTGGGGGATAACCTTTTTTTGTGACTTTTTACGCTGTGGACCCAACTGTACATGCAAAATCCTACATGTACTGTATGTGTGTATTTCTGTGTGTAGCTGAATCTGTAGCTTGCAAGGCAGGCAGCTTGACTTCCCACTGTGATCCTGATTTAAAATGCTCACTAGAGAGTAGGACAGAGCCAGACGAAGTGAAAAAAGAGAAACAGAAAGAAAAAAGGAGACAGAGAAAGGCAAAGAGGACAGGAGAGAGACAGGAAAAGAAGGAGAGACCAATTACAAAAACCCAACTACAGAGGGATAAGAGAGAGTGAGAGAAACTGAGAAACACACAGAGAGAGAGTGAGTGATTTCCTCTGGGTCTTTGAGAAAGAGAGAGTAGAGCACAGTCTGTGTGCGTCCGGTCGGTCGTTCAGCTGATTAATTTGTGACAGCAGGGATTTTGGTGCTTCGTGCTTTGAATTGCTGCTCTAATTTATATGGTAATCTTCTTTATGACTCTAGCAGCATACAAAAAACTTTTTATTTCCAACTCTGCTAAGCCTAAACCCTTTTCAAAACTCACTACACATACCGTATAACCTCAAATTAGAAAAGGTTGGGTCAGTATGTAAAGTCAAAATTAAATCTGAAAATAGTGATGTGTAAATCATGTGTGTCCTGTATCACATTGAAAACAATGCAGCAGCACATTATTTGATGTGACACCTCATCAATTTTATTCTTTGTTCTAAATAAACATTCACTTCAATTCTGATGCCTGCGACATATTCCAAAAGAATTTGGGCCAGTTGCATTTCAGGGCCAGTAATGAGGTAAAACAATGTAATGATGATTCCATTTGAAACAGCTGATGTCAACAGGTGACTGCATCATGATTTGGTACAAAAGTGGCATCCAGGAAAGGCCGAGACCTTTACGAACAAAGATGGGCTGAGCATCACTAGTTTATACGGAGCCCCGGAGGGGACATGGGAGGAAAAAAAATTTCCGACAACTATCTCGAGATCTCGCAAAACTTTCTCGAGATCTCGCAAAATTTTCTCGAGATCTCGCAAAACTGTTTCTCGGGATCTCGAGATCTCGCAAAACTATCTCGAGATCTCGCAAAACTATCTCGAGATCTCGCAAAACTATCTCGAGATCTCGCAAAACTATCTCGAGATCTCGCAAAATTTTCTCGAGATCTCGCAAAACTGTTTCTCGGGATCTCGAGATCTCGCAAACCTGTTTCTCGGGATCTCGAGATTTCGCAAAACTGTTTTGCGAGATCTCGAGATCTCGCAAAACTTTTGTCCGTGCTTCGGTTTAATATAACATCCCAGTTTGAATAGGTGAGTCATGGAGGAGGATGTGTTGCAATTCCTCAGGTCGAGAGCGGTCCCTCAGGATGACATTATACGCATGCAAAGAGACAAGGTGGGTTGAAAATTCATTAAACAACTTTAGTATTTGCATAGCTTGCACGTTTTATAGTTTTAGATAACTAGACTAAAGTTTCTAGATTACTTGGAGCTAACGTTAGCGTAAAGTTACTCGTCGTTAACGTTAGCTGTCATTGTCGTTCATCGCTGTTCTATCCCATTAAAAAAAATGGGATAACTCTAATATACTGCCGATTTCTATGGTGTTCATTTAGCATCAAACTGAAAACTCCACGTAACTTAAGTATCATAATTAAAAAGACAGCAAACCAAAGTTGATGAGAATATGAACAGATGTAATGGACTTTGTGATAAAGTAAGCCAGTCTTCTTTCAGATTTCTCAGTGTAGTCTTCATGTAATGCTCTTTTATATGGTCACAGGAGGTGAAACACTGAGAACATTCTGACTTTGGATATTTGTGTTTATTTTTATATTCTTGTTTAATTTTTTTTTTTTTCATGTGCAGGTTGATAAGGCAGTGCTATCCATCATGACTGATGAACAAATGGCCAGATATATCTCTTCATATGGTGACCGGGTTGCTGTCCTGTCCTTCTGTCAACAAGCAAAGTGCAGTACTGACAAACACACTCTTTTACAGAAACTGCGAGATAAAATAGGAACACGCAAAATGAAATCAAAGGCAAAGGGAGCCATGTGTGGTACATCATGTGTGTTCAAAAAACAAGGCGAAGGGATGGCAAGACATAGAAATAATGCAGGAGAAAGCACTTCAAGGAAGATTGAAATTGGATGGCTTCATTTCAGCAATAATGACTACCAACAAGTGAGAACCAGAAAAGGTGGTGGAACAAGACATGCAACAGTTGAGAAAACAACAAATATTGCTCAGATTTTGCAGATGAGAAGGGAGCTTTTTTTTTCAAATGGACTTTCAACAAAAGGTCGAGTGGAAGACTTTACCTTTCATATCTGTGATTTTAAAAGACACCAGCTTCCCATGGATGACACTGTTGGCCACCTTTATGAACAAACTAAACTGAAGTTGCTTCGATTTTACATTTGCACACGAGAACAAGCACCTTCAACAGATGAAGAATCACCTGAAGTGGATCAATGTACTGTAGATTCCTTATCTAAGGATTCATCTGTCAACATCTCTGAGGGAGCAGATCTACAGTTGACTAGCCAGGGAGCCCATAGTGATGTGGATGATTCAACCACAGATCAACTGGAGCATGGGCATGCATTTGACAGTGACACAAGCGAACAGGTTTGTGATACTGATAAATAAAGCAGTGAGTGATGATGATACAAGTAATAAAATGTATCCCCTGTATACTGTATGTGTATGTTGGTTGCTGCTGTATCACACAGGTTCTGATGATGTTAAAGAATTTAAATTATTGCTAACTAAAACTTAGTCCTTTATTCTTAGCAGGCTTCTCCTCTTTCTGCCATACTCTATGTCCAGGAAAATCTCATTACTGTCGTTCAAGTCCAGAAGACATAAGAAATCCCAACATTGGCAAGGTGCAGCACCCTAGCTCAAGTGATCATGATGATGACACCATTTGGAATCTTCCTTTCCAGTCTTCTCATGGTTTCCCTGACTCTTGCTTTACAAGTATTGATCCAACCAGTGTGGTTTGTAACAATTTTCCAAACAGAGAAACTGAGCATCTCTGTCACGAAACTTCTGAAAATGTTCCTCAGCTGGATGCAGATGAGGCAGACAC